CTTGGGCTCTGCTTCGATGCGTCGCCCTTGGGAACTCAGCGGTGTACTACACTGCGGGCCGGACAGCCGCTCCGGCAGCTGGGAGGATTTCCAGCACTGCTCCTCATTCGGCGTTGAAGCGACGTGAAGAGTCCTACAGCCGGCGTATGAAAACTGTAATGCTAGTCCAAGCAGGGCGTTGAGAACACCTTCTATCTGGGAAGTAGGGTCTAAATCTGCCAAAACCCAAAGTGCAGGTGAGGAGACACCCTGATTCCTCCCAGAGTTGTTGAACCGAAGCCTCCGAAGAGGTAGTTCAACCTTTGGAGCCCTTAAGGGTTCATATCTTGTCACTGCCATGGAGCTCTCCTTGATAAGTATCCAACAATCAGAGCTGAACAGAAGGTATGCGAGCAGTTCAATTCAGCGTGCACCGGGCTCAAGATGCAGATCTTGTAGGGACGATGCATTGGTACAGTGGTACAGGCTTCGGACAAGAATTTGGCTTGCTTCCGCCCAAAGATCGATGGCTGTCGGCCCGTAGGCACGAATTCAGTGCATTTTTGCAATAAGATCCTAGACATGGGATTTCAGAGGCATCCTCTCTTGGAGCTGTACAACATTGCACAACCGACAAATTCTGCAGCTTCATGCACAGTTCGAAAGCCCAAGCAGAGGCGGAGAAATCCAGTAATAGACAAACGATCCTGGAAACGATGATCGTTTGTGCAAGGGGGGCGCTGTCTACCAGCAGCGACAAACTGGCATAAATTGCAAGCTGAGGTCTCCAACGAACAATGTGCGAGAGTGTACGAGCAAAGCTCAAGTCACAGACCTATCGGCGACGCGAACGTCGGAGCATTGTTCGCAGGAGCCGCCACTGCTGTCAGTGCAAGCCAGGTGTGGGCACTGCACCACATATTCGCCACCCTGGCTCGGCTTCTTCTGAGTAAAACATGTTGCAGCAGCGGTCTGTGGTGTTTCCTTAGCTGCGAATGGAAGGATCAGGCAGAAGGTAGAGGGTCTGTAAGTCGATAGTATCGTCTTGCAAGGCTTGGGGTTTGGCATTTGGGTTTAGGTTTGGGGAAGATGGCCGCTTGCACTGGCTACTTGAGTCGTTTTCGGCCTGCGACTGTCCGGCACAAACACGTTGGGTTGAATCGTAGAAGCTCCGAAGCCCGATACCTTACAACCTCGGCCGTCCAGCACTTCAACCCTGTCTGCAGCCATGCCTTGTGCCATGGATACAGTATCTCTGTATGTTTCGAATTGCGAGTGAATCAATATGTGCTTGGCGCCAGCTATTGCTCTTCAACCTCGTAAGCCAAGTCGCTCCGACGCTCGACCTGCGGCTGTTCTTTCTTTTGGAGAGCTGGCCAAGACAATAACAACTTCGTTAACGCCTACACCAAACATACACGGGAAAACCTTGTGCCAAACAACAGGGCCGGATCGACTAAGCATGAGAACTGACCGATAATCCCGGGCTCATCCAAAATTTGGACTTTAGGGTTTAGGGGATGTAGGGCTTAGGGATCTATATTTCGAGCGGTGGAGTCCTGCTTCACAACTCTAGCTTCACGTCGTCGCATCGATAACCTGAGTTCGGACAAGCCATTCGGAATCAGCGGGACTTCCGCCTTCAAGCCCGATCTTAAAGTCAAACCTGGGGGACGGCCTACCATCACCCTGCAGACTACAACTCAACGACTGCAACTGACAAGGCCGCACTTGCTCAGTGCTGCGGGTTGCATTCCAGGTGATGTTCCTGCAGTTTCACAATTTTCTTTGTCTTGTCGATGAACGTATAGCACCTCAGATGGCACGGATTTTCGGACCTGGGTTTGCCTGCCGCATTCACTGTATTGCTCCGTGGTCTTTTGTCTTTTCAGCTCTCGTTAGCTTTCGTTTGCGTGCAGCCGGGTAGCTCACGGACGCCATCATTGAGGGCGGCACCAATGCATTGGTACCGCAGGATGGGGCTTGTCAGAATCCTGGCGGACGCCAAGAGTCAATCCCCGTCGTGATCTCACCCCTCCATTGAACGCTCTGCATCACAGGATCTCCACAACTGGATGCAAAAAGTCGGAAAAAAACATTATTCAGGAGTTCTTCCTGGCATTGAGCGTTTGGGGCCGTCAAAAAACACACACACTCAAACGATTTGCGGCATCGGGAAGAAGCTTCCCACGAATCTTGGTTTCTTTCAATTTTTAAAAGCCACCTCTTCAACTCGGCCACGATCATCTTGGGATCTGCGCCCGGTCGAAAGGGCGCTTTCGCTGTTGACATCCAAACCTCTGCAGCAGTGTCAGCAGATCTGAGCACCGCGGGATGAAGGCTACGTGAGAGTAAACGGTTTGCGTTCGCATTGATACTGCCGAGCCAGGCACTGCAGTTCCAGGCGACTTCATCGCTGGCAATTGTAATTCCAACGATGCATTGAACTTGTCCTTCCATGCACGGGGTGGTGCTTCTGCAACTGAAATTGTGCATCTGCAAGACTTACGAAAGGGAGTTTGCAATGCCTGTGCCGTCTGCATCAATGAGCAGTAACGCGCGGTGTCGCCACAATGCTCTACCTGACACACCCGCAAATCCGATCGGTTCAACGCTGATGCGCATGATCCCTCGCAATGGCTGCCCCCCCGATCTCTGTGGCACTCTTTCTCAGGTTCTAACGGTACACTCACCGGAGCTTTCTTTAGCACGCTGCTCGAAGCTGCGGATGGCCTGCGGGCAGCGGTGGGCACCAGAAGCAAGTTTAGACGTGTCAAACCAGATACACCGCGTTGCAGACATGCCGGACATCGCCGAACTTGTCACAGCTGGCATGATGCCGCCGATTGCCGGCCTGATCTGTGCCTGACACGAAGACTGTGCTCGGATGAAAGTACTCCGTGATGGTGCACACATCTCCGTCCTCGGGAGGTTCAGGTTGACTCAAGAAAAGACAACGTCTGACCACAGCAATGCTTTAGGGAGCTGACACCATGTGCAGCTCAAAGAAATAACATGCTGCCGAAACACCTCCTTTCCGGTGGCTTCGCGGCACAGTGCAGAAATTGACTGAACCCCCAAACCGCATATTTGAAGAGAGCCCTGCTTCTTGCCACCTGACTCGGCAGACCTGAGTATGCGCATACATCTCGACTCGTACAGTCCATAGAATTCAGTCACGGAGGCCAGCAGTTAGAAACAAATCATCATCGTGAACTAACAAGGCCCCGGCAAAGCGTCGTCTGCCAGCTTGGCAATTCGTAGGCCATCCTCAATAGCCATGACGTCAGCCGCGCAGAGAGCCGCCAGAGCACCTTCCAGGTTTTGTGTGCGTGTCGGACACCTCTGGGTGCTTGGAGGGTCGGGGGACTTAGTAAGTAGGTAGTAAGTAGACTTATAAGTACCCTAAAAGGGACCCTAATTGGGGTTATGGTACTTATAAGTCCCTAAAATAACCAGTTACTAAGTCCCCCGACCCTCCAAGTGCTTGACAAGCAGGAACTGCCCTGAAAGAATCACTGAAGCGATGTTTTTTCATTAAAACCCAAGATCAAAGTTATTTATCAGTGTTGCTTCAGCTTTCCAACCGCGGAGGAAACAGCTTGCTCCGTCTATTGCAATGCCTCCATGCCCTGAGCCATAGATTGAAGCTGTGGAAGCGACCTGACCAGCGAAGAAATGCATTTATTCACAAATTTGGCTGAGATGGTGGTGTTGGGCAAAGAAAAAAGCTCTCGCAAGCCTGGTGCGTATCGTGTCTGAACTTCTCGATTTCGGCAAGGGAGGCAATAAATCCGCCGACGAATCCTGTACTATAGCCATCGCAAACGGACTTGGCTTTCTCAACCAGGTCTTTCACTGCCGGCAGCTCCTTCGACAGGTCCTGGACCGTTGCATGGCGGCTTGGGGTTGAGGCTGTAGGCTGTAGGGTTAGGGTTTGTAGGCGCCGACATTGTGAAGCCGACCACTACCATGCACGCGCCTCCAGGGTAGCTTGGTACCTCACACGATCTCGGTCGCAAATGTAGAGAGCACCAGGCAGCTGCTCCTCGCAAGAGGCACTCTCCTACTTTCAAACTTGGCTGTCGCATGCCGGTTTGGAAGCTTTGCCTAGCTTTCATGCACCGTGCGCTCAGCCGTTGGCCGCATTCAAACATCCGGTGCCAAGGCTCTTGGCCGCAGGTGTGCAGGCCTTTGTTTCAGGGCCCCGGCCCGTTCGAGAGAGCCTTTGTAAAAAGATGCTTCCTATCTTCTGCCATGCACGTAGGATGTCTGATGCATTCAGCCGTTACACACAACACAAACCATGAACAACAACTACGATCCACAGGCCCACACGACCTTCGAATTCTGCAAGGCCGAAAACCGCAAAACCTCTGCATGCGACACTGGGCCCCACTGCGCACTTCTGAAAAATTGCTTGCAAACGTGTCTCCCAGACTCCTAGAAACACAGAATGTCCAAGGCCCTGTGCCCTCCATTTCCTGCAGGGGTGGGAACCGGAAGAACGTAATGCAGACATGTGAGGCTCACTTTGTGAACACCAACACACCAAACACTAAGCCCTTGACCCCCAACCCCAAACGCACCAGGGCCCCCCCTCCTCGGCTTTGGCTTTGACATCTTTGGCATCGCCCCGACCACCACGGGCTTTCAGCGATCCTAGGAGTCGAGGAGCATCTTCCGAAGCCGCCGGCTCCTTTCCCGAAGGCAAAGCTCGAGGTTTAGGGGTGTGAAGCATTCGTCTTTAGGAAATGGAGTGGGGGCTTAGGGCTTAGGTCACTGGTTTGTGGGCTAATTGTACGGGTGTAGGCTTAGGGTGTACAGATTTTTAGGGACTGGCGACAAATCTGCACCGGCCGCTGGCTCCTCAGTCTTCAGTGCCTCCTCAGCCTTTGGCACCTCGTGGTCTGCATGTCGCGCAAGTCTGCTGAGATCCCTACAGTACTCTTTCTCTATGAGACCGACAATTATCGCCGGATCATGGGCAAGTGGCAGGTTGCACCTGCCCTCTTGCGCAACTACTGTTGCTCCACCAAGTCATGAAGCAAGTCATCTGCCTCCTGAGCTTTGTCCACCACAAGGAACTCATCCTCAGCAATTCCGAGGTCCTGCAATGCTCTACGCAACAGCTTCAGCAAACAAACAGCTGCTCTTGTTGCTTGGAGACCTCCATGCTGCGAATAGCTCAGTGATCCAACTTGAGGCGGCAGGGCAAAGCTGGCAACTATCTAAAGCATCACAACGAAATTTAGTACTTGCTATAGACTAGAGTAGTTCGGCAATTTCCGGCAGTGTTCATACACAACCCCAATCCCTACATCTCCGATCCGACGCACCCGTACCCGTTTGTTGGGGCGTGCTGTCTAACCACAGAGAAAACGATACATGAGCCAATCGCCTCATAGCAAGCTCGAGCGCTACGTTCGAAATGCAGCCTGAAATAACCCCGTGAAAGACTGCAAAACCCAAGACCTTAGAGGCGCGCCTTCACGCAGCGCGCGTCTTCCAGCGTGTCGCCCTTAAAAATGAGCTTCAGCTGCTGCTCAGAGGACCTGGCAGTATGCAAAATGGCGACTGTCGGCGGGTTGTCATTCGAGCATTGCGGAAGCACAGGCCATGCTGAGTCTGACAGTTTTTGCTTTACGTATGGCTCCAGATGCGGAGGATCCTTGGATGACATCGGTGGTCCTGGTCCCTGAGGTGATGTTTCCGCGCAAATCTTGGAGCCCGGCTCGCCAAGTTCTGCTCGGATAAGCTCTTTCAGGTCTTGCACGGTTGCCTCATTGTTCCACAACGCATGAGTCTACAAAAAACTTGGGTCAACTTGTTGTAGGATCTCGTAATGCCCGCTCGGTTGAAACAGTCGCTCGGTTGAACCTGTTGAGTTTCAAGCAAGGGTATGCGCCACACCTATCGACTTCTAGCTGGGCGACGATGCGAGCTTGCCATATGCCTCCGTCTGCGGGCTTCTGGTGTCGCGCTGCGTGTGCGGTGCAATCCGCAGAAACCCTAGCATGATATTTGGCAGGAGAATCGGGTTGTTCCACATGTCTTAATGCCAGGCAAATGCGTGTATTGGACTGCACAAATCTGGCGTGATTGGCCACTTCTGCAGAATGGAGTGGCCTCGCTGCAAAGATGTTAAGCACAACCTTTCCAACCCACGAAAGCACATGTGCAACCGCATGCCTCGCTCAGGAGTTCCATCTCAAAGCTTGATGCCCAAGATTTGCAGTGAACCTGCCATGGAAGGAGCCAACGAGGTTTCAGCTGCGCTGGCCCCCCCCCCCCGCCCCGCTCCACCTTCATCCTGCAAGCCCGAGTTGTGCAAGGTTCTTGAACATGAGCGCCGATGTATCCCAAATCCGGCATTGGCGATTGGCCTTGATAGTCGCCACGATCTCCCCGTCCGAAGATGAGGCACTAACTCCTCTGCCACGTCATGTGCGAGCATGCCACACTTGTGCTGCATGTGCTGTTGCGCCGGACCTTTGGGTGATTAGACCACGCCTTTCCTTTGCCCTAGCGCATTTCACACAGAGTCTTACAATCATCTGCAAGTAATTGTGAAGCCCTCGAAGTGAAGCTGCATGTGATGTGGTGCCACTTCAGCTCCACTGCATGCATGCATAGAACGTTCTGCAGCGCAACCTTTTGTCGGCTTAGGGATGTCCTTCAATGCCGCCCCCACAACCCGGCCCCTTGCGATCCATCCAGGACTCCGATGTCAGCAAAATGTCCGTCCTCCTGAGTCCTCGCCGCTGGAGCTGCCGGCCTGTGCGGCTAAGGTTTGCAGAAAGCAGAGTGACCTGAAACACCCAGAAAGGAATTCAACAACTCATCGAACAAATCTCGCCAGCATCCAGCAGCTGGGCATACGCTCCAGGCAATGTCATGACATGCAACTACAGGCGGCAAAAAGAGCTGAGCCTCAGGCACCATAACCATACACCCCAAAACTTCAGCCCCAAACCACAAGCCAGATGTCACAGGCTTTGCTTATCTCCGAGGGCCTCCGTGGTGCTTGGTGTCGGCGCTACGAAGGGAGGTTTCAACAAAGCCGCCGCCTTGAATTCATTTTTGGGAAAAGCAACTCTGTGCATCATGAAAACTTAACAGTATGTTGATCCTTGGCTCTGTCGGGTGCAAGGCTGGGGGTCTCTTTGACGGGGTCCAATAAGCCTCCAAAGAAACTTCTTTAAAGCAGAAGTATGGATGAGGTACTAAGGAGCACTCTGGGAAAATGCCGGGACGTGCGGGACATGGTCTCTAGGGCAGGACTCGCATTCCCTAGCTTTCTTCGAACTTCACACGGCATGTCGGAATTGGTTAGACGCAGCAGGAGAAGGATTTCAGCGGCGCTCATTGGAAACACACCGATCGCGATGATGCTTTTCTGTTGAAGGGGGAAGGGGGGGGGGCAAGGCGCAACTTCTGGCTTCTGCAGCACCTCATACTTCTGCTGGATCTCTGCGAACTCTTCGTCATCGATGGAAAGCCTGCGGCGAGGAGCATCGAATTTGACTTAGCCGCTTCGCCATGGACGGAACTCGAACCTGAGATACCTTCAGAAGTGCAGGACGACTCGGCAGAAGAGGCTCCACTTCTTGCCCCAAAGTTCGGATGCCCCGGAATCTCGAAAGCCTTGCTCTGGGCTCCCCATGATCTCTAGAGCTGCACTACGAAGCCAACGCAACCCAGCAGCGCGTCGCGGATGCCAGTCCGAGCTTCGAGCACCTTTGCCCTCTCCGCCGTCAGACCTCTGGCTCGGGGTGCTCAAGAGGCTCACTAGATGGGGTTTAGGGTGTGGGCTTTAGGGGTTTAAGGTTTTGGGGTTTAGAGATTTAGGGTTTAGGGTTGTGGGGTTTAGGGGGAGTCTACTTCTACTTCGCTGCTGGCTGCAGCTATACCCTGCAAGTCTTTACCTAGAGGATCCGCATCCTGCAGGCGAAACCCGAATCATGCTTGCAGTCCACCAGAACACTCCTGCGACAAAGCGAGGAACTGGCTCCATTCTAGCACAACGAAAGATAGCCCAAATAGTCGAAAAGCACATTCCAACCGCACCACGAACAGTGAAGCCTACGAGGCAGGCCCAGGACAGGTCAGCAGACCTTGTCTCTTATGGTTAAAGTGGTTAAAGATAAAGGAGACAGCAGGAGATATAGCCCGAACCCGACGCTACCTGATTTCTCCAACTGAGGACGTCACTGTCGACCTGCGATCGCGTCTCCGCTCGCTCTTCGCCCACAGGAAGGCCTCCATTCTGTAAGAGATCCAGCATTCGAGGACACAGACAGCTGACGCAAGGGCTTGCACAGCTCGGGGCAGCTCCGCTCAGGGTTATGGGGGTCTTTGAGAGTCCAGGCAGTCGTAGTGACAGGCTTGCCAAGCAACACGCGTAGAGTCGTGTTGACCCATTTCTTGCTGGTAGTTCTTCTAAAAGACCAGAAACCGAAAAGCCCCGCATCCTAAAGCAGTCAACCGTGGAACAAACTCAACATCTGCTGGCCCGGCGACCTTCGTGCAAATTCGCCAGCTGATCTTGCGAGGGTATATGGCGAAGGAAAACTCAGCTCAAGCTATCTGCAAAGCATTCACTCGGTTCAGGTCCAACGTTTCGGTGCGTTTCGGGGGCCCACGATGGGTCCAAAGCCCAGGATGCCTGTGACATTCCGACTCCAGGGATGACTGGTGCGGTCATTCACAGATGACGCCAGGCAGCGTGCATACATTGCGTGGGCAAACTCTTCTGCCTCGCGAAACAGGGACAGCTTCCATGCGCAGTGTGGTCGAGATACGAAGGGCGAAGCATCGGAGGTTTGTTGCTTGACATGCTCACCCCAGAAGCATCTTGTCAACGGGTCTGGCAGGTTTCGAGGTGTGCGCCTTGCAGTACATCACCACCTTGCTTCGGGAGGTGCCCAAGCCCTGCGGCTCAAATAAAGCTTTCACCTCCGCAGGGATTCTTGAAGAGCGAAATCCCAAACCCCGTGCATCCTTCCCAGCTGGCCCAACTTCCCTCCAACCTGCCCACTTGCACGCGCTGCCAGCACCGGGTTAGCGGCTAGAGAAGTGAACTGTGCCTTAAATCTTCAAACCTTGGGAGGTGCACGGTCAAAGGGGCTTACGAGAATCTGGACGCCGGAGGCTCTTCTGACCACAGGACTATAGTGATTAGGTGCCTGGCACGAGGTTCTTTTTAGAGTCTCCAGGTGACTCGGACTTCGTCTTAGGCTCTACACCCCCCAGCCAATTGCCTGAATCCAGGGGGACGGCGCGTCAAGATCGGCCAAGCGCTTCAAAAGCTCCTCGCTCTTGTTCCGGAGCTGCTGAACGGCATCCGCATGCAGGGTCTCCTCAGCACGAGGTTCCAAGTTCTCTTGCAGAAAAAACGAGACTGAGACATGTTAGCTGTTCAACGCCTCGAACGACCCAGCAGCACCCACGGGTTTTGACAGTCAGGGCTCGCACCGCTGCATGATGGCATCGGTGTATGTTGCGTAGCTGCTTAGCTGGATGATCGGCTGATCTCTCAGCGTCTGCTGCATACCTCGGCGAGGCGAGAATACAGCTCTTCTGCACGACTTATTATATAGTCTCGCACAGGAGGGGGAGGCATGCGTAGCTCATATTTGGAACGCTAAACAAATTCATGCGATTAAGCTCCACAAACCGCAGCCCTCGGATAACCCGGATCACTTAAGAAGCCTACAGTCTGGAGTTCAATTCTGTAGAGACCAAAATCACAAGGCCCCTTCGCCCAGTCGCTCTTCCAGCGTTTGCCCTCCTCAAAGGCTTGCAGTGGCTCGAGCCCGAGGCACTCTGGAGCATGGGTGACCTCGGCTTCGAGTGTAGAGTTGGTCAGAATGCAAGGATTGCACGTTTCGATTTGGATCTAAATGAACCTCACCTGACATCCATCCACTGAGGATTGCAGGACAGGGGGTCAGCGAAGCCCCTAAGCCAATTATCATGACACAGCAGTCAGCAGTCTCGGAAATGCTTGCCAGAAAACAATGTTCACGTGGTCCGCGCCAGACGACACCTCGCGCAAGAGTTGAGGCTCCCTTGACCGGCCCGAGTGTAGTGGCTGGCTTCAAGTAAAACACTGAACTTTGGCAAGGCAGTTGCATACGCAATGCCAGACTGGGGTCACGAGCCGTGAGAGTGTGTGTGACACAGAGACAGAGAGAGAGAGAGAGAGAGAGAGAGAGAGAGAGAGAGAGAGAGAGAGCGAGAGAGAGAGAGAGAGAGAGAGAAAGAGAGAGAGACAGAACGAAAGAAAGAACGAAAGAGCGAGAGAGAGAGAGAGAGAGAGAGAGGGGGAGGGAGAGAGAGTGAAAAAGATACAAGTAGTGTGCAAGTTCTTTCAGCCGGGGGTTTGAAGGTTCTCCTTGCTTTGCAAAGAGTGGCCTACTAGTTGTCCAGCTTCCTATAAAGAGCGAAACCTTAAACTTAACTGTCTGAGATTTAGACGACTCCAGGACCATGGTCCAATGGTGGCCTTGCTTTCCGTCTCGAGGATCTCCCGCACCGGCTTCACCAGATGACTGGAAACTGCCTCGAGAGCCTCCCAAAAAGCTGGGCTCATGTCGAAAGGAGCTTCAGTAAGCTTTGCACTCATGGCTTGTGCCATGGACGCTTAGCTTAGTCGTGCTGGACGTCTGCCGCAAGGTCATGCATGCTGTTCCGAAGGAGCTGTGACAGCCCCCCAGTGCTGCTTGTGCTCTAGCGGGTTAATGCCCTTTGCCCCGGGCTTCTCTCTTGAACAACCTTAGGATGGAGCATCGAAGGCACTGTGCCGCCTCTCCCGTGATCTTGCGAATCTCAGCGCATGCGCGATCAATAGCACTCTGCTGCTTGAAGCCTTCGCACGTGTAGCCTGCTGGCACTTCGTATCAAGAGATGTGGACAGAGCATGCATGTGAGCAATGGTTTAGGTTAGAACAACGCACGAGTCTCGAGGGCGGGAGTAGTGCTTGCTGTCTCAAAGGCTCTTCTGAGTGCAGGTCACAGCTTCGTGGCGGTCCTTTAAGGGATCAGCCGGGGTTCCGTTAGATTCTTGAGAAGTCGGGAATCTGAACGCAAAACCCTTGCGGCCTCAACCTGCTCTAGGCCTACACCCTAAACCCTAAAATCATCTAAACACCAAAATCTCCCAAATCCTCAAGTCCCTGTCCTGATCCCTGGAACTGGAGCAGAGCATCTGAGATCCTCAGAGCGAGTCCGTTCAAGGGCTGTCTCTACCTAGACTTCAAATAACCTACCTTGTTAAGGACCTGTATGAGGAAATCATAATGGGGCAGGTGTTGTAGGATCCAGGAAAGTTGGTTGAAGTAGCATTGGCTTCGGGTCGCGAGGGTGTTGTAGTCACGTCTTAACGCAGATGGGGATTTCCAAATTGGCTTGGAGGTCACAGGTGTGGGCTCCACGAAACATGATAATGTAGGGGTCTTAATAATTAGAATAGAGTTTTTGGGGGTTCCTTGTTTTCATTATGGTATAAAAGACCCCTATAAACACTCTTCTAAATATTTAGGCCCCTAGATTCACAGGAAGCGAAGGTTTCTGGGCTGAGCAGGGCTTCGAGAAAGTTGTTGACAGCACGATATATAGCTTGGCCTGGTGTCCTCGCATCAGTACGCGCGGCCAGGGTCATGAAAAGCGAAACCTCAAACCCACAAAGCAGGGTTCGGAACCGGGAACTTTGTCACCAGAAGCCCGGGTTTTTCCCTGGGTGTCCTTCGAAACAGGCCGTCTCCAAGCACGTCCGTGACGAAGGACTGATACAAAGCCTGAGCTGCATGTAGGCTACACAACATCCGTGTAGGGCACTTTACACACAACGTCCTAAGAAAGCTGAAGCTACATCTGAGCACTTCTTCTCAAACAAAGAGTTCGTGATGTCGAGCACCCAATCGTTCCGCCGCGTGCGCGTAGCGTAGTATCAGGGCCTTAATAATTAGAACAGGGCTTTGGGGCCCATTATACTAGAAGTAGAGTAAGGAACCCCCGAAACCTATATTATTAGGCTCGGGCCTCAGCTCAAGCCAAGCCCTGAGGATCTGAATCACAGCCTCGGGGCCCATGTGAAGGGCGAGCTCTTGCCCAGGCGCCTCACAGGAAAAAGGCTTGGGGATTAGGGTTTAGGGATTAGGGTTCGTCGATTTGGTTGTAGGCTCGCAGATACCGGTCCAAAGGAAGGCAACACTCAAGACATCAACAGAAGAAGCTCCAACCGGAACTGCACTTCATAGCCTGACATCCTAACTTATCCTACACTCCGGAGTCGCGTTGCCCTAGGCCCTGAAAGCAACACAGTCTGAAATCAACATTGTAAGCCCGTGGAAGCCCGCTGACGTCGCCTCTCTACCTCCGCACTTGCAAGCTGCTCTTTCTGGTCCTCCGGCACCACTCCGAGCCTGGACCACTTGAAGAATCATGGGACCTAGTATATAAGTAAAGGTCATAAGTACCCTACTTGGGGTTGTAAGCACTCCGAGCCTGGATTCTTCATTGTTGCTGTTTTTCTGTCGCCCTCTCCCTTTGCTCTGGCGGCTGTGCGAGCAGACGAGCCTATGCACTTCTTCCGAATGTGCACGCTATCCTAAATCACAAAATCCAAATCCATAGACAGTGCCTAGTAGTAGTAGTAGTAGTAGTAGTAGTAGTAGTAGTAGTAGTAGTAGTAGTAGTAGTAGTAGTAGTAGTAGTGGTAGTGGTAGTAGGAGTAGGAGTAGTGCCGTTTGGAAACTTCCCCGTCCAAGAGGCAAGCTCAGATCGAACTGCAGCCGGTCCAACTTTGCCTCCAGCTTGTAGAAGGCATCCCACTTCCAGGACAGGTGCAGGTGGTTGAGATATTCCTGTGGTCTCCAGGCCAAGGTTGAAGGCAACTCTAATCCGAAGCGTGTCAATACTCAAAACGGGCGAGGATGAACTTTGCTTCCTTTCCATCAGTTACAATGTAAACACTGCTAAGGCCTGCAGAAGCCCAATGCAACAGCTGAGATTCATCTCAGTGATGCGACACACGCCCTCATACTAGTGCAAGCCAGCTTAGCTTCATACAGCAAGCTTGTTTCAGAACCCTCGTAAAGTCGTAGAACCCTTGCAGAACACTTGTAGAGCTGTCATGGAACCCTTCTAAAACCCCTCCAACTTTATCTGTCTGGTTTTTGTAGGGAATGGGGGAATGGGTTATTGGGACCACTATTAGGCGACCTTAAGGGACTATTATAGGGATCCATTCGCTTATTCCCTACTAAGAACCAGACAGTTGTCAGAAAGCTCCATCATAATACGTATAATAAGGACTTAATAAGGCCTATTTAAGGAAGTGTAGTCACCTACCGCACCCCCTAAGGGTTCCTATGACTCCAGCTTTATCAGACAGCGTCCTTCTGAAGCTTCTCCACGAGGCATGGGACTCCTGCGTGCCCCTTCTCCTGCCAGATGCACTCCAACTGGAATTTGCCAAAGAGCTATGATGTGGATATCCCATACTTTGCAAGAATTCTGCTAATGACTCTAAGAAAGCCCTACATCCTGATGCCTGCGAACCCGAGCACGGGTCCCGAATTGCCCAGCTCGGTCTTTACAGGTTCAATCTACCTCTAGATACAAAGCACTTTGGTGTCGGCTTTTTGGGGCTTACAAACAGCCCCCACAGCTAGCCCAACTCCACTCTCAATCCCGAACACCCTCGCACCGGTTCCACGTCTCTTGGCGTTGCGCCTGGAGGTCCTGCAGCTCTGGGATCTTCGCAAAATAAGCATTCTCCTGGGCTTTTCTTTGGCCGAGCCAGGGCAAGGGTGTTACATGAAACGCCCAACTCCAAACATAAACCCGAGACTCCACACCAAATGCAGAATAACCCCCAAACAGCCTAAAACGAATACGAAACTCTTCACCAATGCAGAATGGGCGCTATCTTCTGCTGCATCCACACCCGTTCGAAGTTGTGTGTCTCGAGCTCCTTCGCTCGCTCCTGGCTGGGTCCGTGGTTCCCAGCTTGCAGGGGTTCAAGGTTCAGGGTTTAGGGTTTATAGGGCTTGGGGCTTGGGCTTTAAGGATGGTCTACGGGTTTAGTTTGTAGGTTTAGGTTGTTCGGAGTTCGGCTTACAGGGTGTAGGACTGTTGAAAGGATCAAAAATGTAGCATCGATCAACAAAGATGGGCTTGGGTGTATGCGTTCGGGGAGGCTGGCGGTTCGTTCATCATATCATGCAGGCACTCGTGGAAGTGAACACCTTACAATCAAGTTAAAACAGTCCAGGTTGGGACTACATGTGCACTAGGCAAGGTCATGAAAGCCTGATCCTCAAACCAAGTGGGATCACAACACAGCAGCGATAGCTGCAGCTTTCCACAGGTAGCATGTAACAATGCGGTTTGTTCAGGTATTCAATCACGCGGCCTGAGGATAGGAGGCCAGGACAGTCTTTTGTCAAGCATTTGCCGAAGCTGCACAGACTAAGACTCGCATGCCCGCAAGTCGCCATCACACCCCGGCCGTTTGAACGACGGCGCAGATGACCGCAACCCCGGAACAATGGAATCGCAGAGATTACTCTATACCCGCCCCATGCGTGATCTTCTGAACTCTTCATTCTAAATAGACTTGCAAAGCTACATGTTCATCCGTTCCCTGAAAACGCATTGCACCCAGCCCGAGGTCCGATCCTCGCCCTGCTTCTCGGGTCCCTGCATGCTTGCGATCCAGCACTTCATCCGGACAGCGCCGAGATCCTCGCACAAACGAGGGATCGGGTACATGGGGTGTACATGCCTGCCCTGACGCCGCCCGTGATATGCAGGAATGACCATCGCAAACCTTTTAGAGGTAAGTAGCTCAGCTACCCCAGCTTTCAGCTTGCATTTTTCGGCGGCGTGTGCAAGAAAGTCCTCTGGCGACTCGCTGGGCGAGCCGTCTGTGGGCACTGAAGGCTCATGCAAGATCCGCGCTCGGAGAGCATCCCTGTTGTCGATGCACAAATCGCACTTGGAGACGATGCCGACCGTCTTGTCCTGCACGACAGTTAGCTGCCTTACAGTCTGAGAGACCTCAACGAAGATCCCGAAGACAACCATAGTATATAAGCTACATATATATATATATAGCATAATACTGCATATCACAATATATTGTAATGTGATGCCCCAAAGCCTGCAAGCTGAAAGGGTCAACACAACGAAGTCATCCCCAGAGCCCAAAATGCAGCCTGCAGCTCTTTGTCCAGGATGTACCGTACTGCCGGACTGGTGTGGGGCGGCTTGTGCGCCTCCACCACAAGCATGGGCCTGAGGCTGCCGAGGATCTGATCATTTAGGGTGTTGCGGTTGATTCTAACATACCATAACATACTGTTCTCTGGGTCTTCCTATAATCCCTGATGTCACAAAAGGAAGGTTAGGGTAGGTGCGTAGGGTTTAGGGCAGCTTGAAAGCTTCGCTTTTCGCCCCACACCCGTGGCATGGCGGGGCATGATTGGGTGTAGGGTTTACTGCAGATCTTATAAAGGTTGACTGATCTAAAGAGGCCGGGCGGCTCGAGTAAAGTACATCCTGCCAACTCTGAGTGATTCTGCATCAAGGACAAGCTCCCTCATGCGAGGGACTGATGGCAGTTCAATTTCCATGGTACGTATGCCAAGGCGCATGTTGTGCATATCGTCTCGCAAATGCTTGTCCAGAATGCGGGTGACCGATTCTGCCTCATCCGGGGATTTCAACACATCATACACTTCGCAAGTAGTCGGCAAGCTCTTACCTGAATATTCGAAGCTCTGAACGGCATAGGGCAGCACGGGAGGGCATCTCCGATGTCAAGAACCAGAAGCTGGCGAACTCTTCCACCCAGTGCAGATACACTCAGCGCCTGTGAACGACTATGAGGACCTGATCTACCTCGGGACTTGGTAAATAAAGCTACAAGTACCCTAATTGGGGCTATAAGTAATCATAGCTATAGTTACCTTTGTTATATCATTCTAATTCCCATGATTCTCCAAGTCCTCAGCAAGTCTTTGTAAATGGTTTAGGGCTTGCGATGTACTGAGGATTCAAGGTTCCAGGTTTGGGATCCACGAAACCAGAAAAAATCAAAATATAGATGACTTTCCCAGTCTGATTGATTTCCCCAATGTCCCTGGCGCCTTCGCAATTTTAGGGTTTAGGGGTTTAGGGTTCAGGGCTGTGGGGTTTAGGGGTTTAGGATTTAGGGGTTTAGGTGTTTTTTTTGAACGCCTTTTTCTGCACCGAAGTCCAGAGAGCCCGTTTGGGCAGACTTCTTCCATTTACCTTTAGATCCAGCTCTCACTGCCCGACCGTCATGACCCATTCCCCGATTCACGGGCTTTAGGTGTTTAGGGTTTAAAGTTTAAGGGTTTAGGGCTGTCCCTGGGCGCCTTCGCTTTCGTCAAGGCCAGTCCGGGCAAATCCACCAAGTCGATGCTAGGGACCTGCTTTCAGGGTTAATAAATAGAATAAGGTTTCTTGTCCATTCTACTATATTTATAAGGAGCCGCCAAAACAGCATAGGAAATTATTAAGGCCCCTATAGTACCCCGCAATGAAGGAATACAGCTTCGACAGGGCTCCATATTATGACTCAAGGCCTATTCCTTTATTAAGGGGCATTGGGATCTCAGGGCCGAGGATTTCGCAAGGATTTTGCGAGAGTCTGAGAGTCTCTAGGGCCTACTTAGGGGTTCCCTGAACCGACAAACTCAGAGAGGGAGAGAGAGAGTGTCCCCGGTCCGGCCTCGGGTCGCCGAACCTGACGCTTGTGTGAATTTTCGGTTTCAAGAGCTCAGGGTTTTATGGTTGAGGGGTTGGGGTTGAGGGCTGACTGCGTTTGGTTCTCTTGGGGTTGATTCTTGTTGAGGGTCTAGGATCCGAAACTTACTGTTTGACCATGCGGCCAGTGTGTCTTCAGCACGGATTTGCAGTTGAGATGTGCGTGTGTGGGTTTGTCACATAAGACTTCGTGAACTTCATGTGTTTGACTTTGGTAGCCACGAGAAGTACTCTTCTTGTGCGAGCTTGGGGATTGATGATTTCTTCAAGGCAGCTAGGCTATTAGGCTCAACGGCACAATGTCAGATCGCAAGAATCCTTCTATCTATCCTTGTCCGTTTGGTGGTCCAGAACGGGTTGCCGAACTGGACGAGGAAGCAAGCTAGAAGAGGTGGCAATCCACCTAGGACTTGTTCCTGTGTTTTACCTCAACAGAACCTCGATGTCTAATATATCGCCGTCAAAAGCAGGTTTGGATTCTCTGGGATTCTTTGGGTTGCCCCCGAGCCGGTCAGAGGACCTCAAGCACCAGGATCTTCTCATCCACGATGCCACTGCCGCCACACATGTCTTTGGACTCCTGCAAGTCGCATGCTCTTTGCCAGCCAGCAGCCATGTACCATCCGAAAATCGAACAAGCATTCCACATCCACATAAATCCAGTTCCCCGGCAGAATCTTTCAGACCCTGTCGTACGGCGCCTAGATGCCTGCTAAACGAAAGATTCTCTCGTGTAATGACCATTCGCGTCTGCTCCAGAACCGCTCAGCCTTAAACCTTAACCCTATACCGTCTAAACCCTATATGCCCTTTAATCCCGAGAAACGATAAGACCCTAAATGCAAACAGCTCTGAACCCTGTATCCTCTTAAAGCTAATACAGGGGCCTCAGTAAATAGAACAGGGTTTTGGGGCACAATATACTATAATTATAATAAGGAACCCCCAAAATAATGTAGGCAATTATTAAGGCATGTATAGTACACAAAACCATCTCAAGGCCGGCGGCTCCTCAACGAGGCGATCCATCTCCTGCTGGCTTGCGGGGCTGAAGCTAAGGAACTGAGGAACTGAGGCTTAGGGGCTCAGGGTTCCTAGGGCTTCTAGGGTTTCGGGGTATAGGGCTGAGGACCCCAAACCGTAGATTCAATGGTTCCGGGGTTTATGGCTGCGGGAGGCGAAAGCCCAAACAGCAGGATTTGGGACAAGCGCTTAGCTTCAGGATGACAACACTTAAAAGACACGGGGCTTTGGATCTGCGTGTAGGTTTGTGATTTCAGGTTCGAGGAGTATCGCAGTTTTGTTTTTCTTCCTCGAATGGCTGGAACCATGGAATAAAAGAAATATCTACAAGTACTGGTGCGGCCCTACAATACCAACGCTCTGCCCTTCGCCCCTTACACGCCCAGCATCCATATGGTAGCTACACTCCCACTTTCCGAATCACCCCACTGGCAATTCCACGAATCGTATGTTTATGCAGGGTTCACAGATCTCCTTCTGCACCCAGAGCCAGCCATTCTCCTGTGGAATTGGCTCCTGGGGGCTGCAGTGGCGGGATCCGGCTCATGTTTCAAGGGGCTCAAGGCGCAAACTTAAGCTTTTCGCAGGAAGTGTTCTGTGAGGCACGAACAGAAACACATCATGCACTGAAGTAGCAGGTTCGGTCGATGTTCTGCACCGAAGCCCTGTGCTCTGAATCCCACATTTCTCACATCCAGCATGTCGACAGGCGGGCTTATAAAGTTGGGGTGCAGGCCTTGCAGGTGTCAGTATTGATTCCAAGCCCCTGCATGCTGGATCAACAAGCTGAGTCTACGTAGATGCTGCGGGCGAAGGGTTTAGGCCCTAGGGTTTGAGGGTGGATGGCCCGCGGATTCAGGGTGCAGAGTCAGAGCCCGAAGCAGTGCTGAATTGATTGCTCTCTAAACTGAGACCAACGAAAGAGGTCTGGGTAACTGAGATGAACACTGTGAGTAGAATCTGGGTTACGAAACATGATCACTCTCATTCTCAGCCTCATCACCATCACCTTCATCATCATTGTCGTCGCTTACAAATTAGAATCACTGCTGCTGCGATCACCTGTATTTGAGCTTTAGCCTTGCCGCAGCCGAGGTTCTGGGCCCTTCTCCAGTGTCTCCCCGCGTGCTGTCACCTCTAGGCTTGCACGATGGACAAGTTTTGTGTTAAGTCTGTAGGGCTTTTTGAACATTGAGTTTCTTGTCTCGATCCCCATGTTTTCGGGACCTCACATCTAGCACTTCTGGAACTGGGCATCTGCAAACCCAGACCTTACGAAGCCTGTTAGCACTTGCATATGTTCGGGCTGAGCACCTTGGGTTGGTGCTTTGGGTGGCACCGGGTACAGTACCTGGGCCCGGAATCTCTAACATGGTAGGCCCGACCGCCCTTGGCAGTTTCCCCGAGATTGGTTGCTTTCTGCTTCTGATTCTTGAAGAAGCTCCTAAACCCCAAGCCAAACCATCGACAACGAAAACTCCCGAGCCGACCTTGTACACAGCCAGTGTCACGCTGCTCTCATCCGGGCAACGGCGCAGTCTCATATGAATAGCCACTCGGGTACACACGGTGCGCCTGACGTGAGCGGCGCGATCGGGTTCAGGGCATAGGACTTCGGACATAGGGTTTGCAGTATTTACGGTTTCAGATTGCTAGAGTAGTTCAAGGTCTACATGGAGTCGTCAGGCCGAAGAGAGATACTCCCAGGAAAGCAGCGATACATCCTTACATGCCGCCTTTTCAACTCTCCTCTGAAAATGCAAGCCGCGAGCCCCAGAGCATTCTTAAGAAGCCTTCGCGGAAGAAGTGGCAGCTTCGCCAGTTGCTCGAGGATTGTCGACTTGCCAGCGCCCTCCTGGTGCTGTTCTGTGGCTTCAAGAGACTGTCCGGGATGTACCGAGCGCCGAGGTATCGGAATGGCCTGTCGTCGGTCTTGATGTCATTTAGGGGTATGTTGTTTGCTGTGTGAAACTGTAGTTATGGACACCGCCGAGCAGCATCGCCGACGACGACGATACGTGGAGGCCGAAATCCATCCAGCACCTGAAGTAAGAACAGTGATCATAGCGGTCTCTATTGCAGATTGGGCCGCAGGTGTAAGCTTCTTCTACCGAAATCCCTTGCTTCAATCCCGAAGCCACGCCCGAACTGCGATGCCCATCAAGCCCCCTGACCTCAAAGCGCTGTAAACGTGATTTCTGACACCGCCAAACCCCTAAAGCCCTCCGCCCCGTACGACAGCTCAGGGCCGATCTGTGGCCAGGAGCTCACGCAGCACGTCGAGCTTTCGAAAGGGATGGCCTTGGATTTATGCAGGTAGGGCTTTAGGGACTAAGTGTTTCAGAATGTAGGGCTCTAGGATTTAGGGCTATCGGACCTGTGAATGTAGGGTGTGGGAATCTGGGCCTTCCAGTTACGGGATTAGGGTCGTCGGGAGTTTGCTTCAGGGTTCGGGGCTGTTTAGGCTTTGGTACTTTGCCCAATGCTTTTCGATTTCCAGGATCGAAGAGAGACTGTATCTAAGCCCTAAACCCAAGACCCTAAACACTACCATCTCGAGATCTTCTTGCACTCCTTGGCTTGGGATTGTTACTTCTCGTGTTTTGCGGGGCCCGGGCTTTTGCATGGAAACTTCTCAAACTTTGAAATGCCCGGTTACTTCACCCGAGTGACGGCTTTGACTCAAACAGCCTTAGGCCCTCCAAGCCTGATCCCTGAACCTCAGAGCCCGATCCTAAACCCTAACAGAACCTGATCCTCCAAAGCCTCGAACCCGAAACCTTGGAAAGCCGACAGCCCCAAATCCAAAGGTCCTAAACCCTCAGCCGAACAAGTACCGTTATTTCTCCCTGAAAATCCATGTGCCAATATAGTTTAAGCCGTATATACCAAAGGGCCAAGCAGAAACTACAGAGGCACACTGACTCTCACGGTTTTAGGGCTCCTTGCATTAATACTGTAAACTTCAGTATACGCCCCCCAACCCCTGTTCCAATTCTTGTGGCGCCTATATCACATTTGGGAGTTTCCGAAAATCGGGGACCCTAATGTAGTACCCTGAATAGTAGGATCCTAACCCAAAATCCGGTACCCCTCAATTTCGGAAACTTCCATCTCAAACTGAGCAGCTCAAGCTTTGAGCCATGGTCGCTCCGAGAGGCCCTGCAAATTCAGGGTTTGGGCCGTGCAAACTGACAGCTAAGGGTAGGGTTTAGGGGTTTAGGGTTTAGGGGTTTAGGGTTTAGGGGTTTCGGGTTTAGGGGTTTAGGGTTCAGGTTTAGGGTTTAGGGGTTTAGGGTTTAGGGGTTTAGGGTTTAGGGGTTTAGGGTTCAGGTTTAGGGTTTAGGGGTTCAGGGTTCAGGGTAAATTGGCTTATAAACATAACTTATAAACGACTTCACATGTTGTGATCCGGGTCTGAAGACTGATAAGGTTCGCAAACGTTGCTTGCAGCCGTGCATAAGCATGTCACGCTGTGCAAGTGGCGGTTGAAAATTTGCAACTGCCGCGTCGGAAGCTGGTTTCGGATTTCGCATCGCAATGAGGTTGCATCAGAAGGCCCAAGACGCCTCCAAACTGTGAACTGTCAAGGCTCCACATCAAACCGTTCATCCTTTATCTTTGCAAACCTACAACGGCGTACGTACAATCTTAACCCCAGCGCCAGGACCCCATAAACCCAACATTGTGAACCCCGAAGCCGCAAGCCGACACGAAGCGCCCTTGACAAGCCTGAGGACCACTCTTTCGCCGTGAGCTGCAGTGTTCGGCCGCTTCTCCTCCAGACGTTTAGGGATTTCGTGCCTAAGGGAGTAGGGCTTAGGTTTCAAGAATTCTTGGTTCTAGGATTTACAACTCGAGGGCTTAGGGCTGTGTGGTTTGGGAGTTCGGAACCTGGAAGCTCAGAAATTGAGGTTTACAAAACAGGCTCTGCGATCCTGGCAGAGGAATCAAAAGTCAGGGTGTGCAGCATGGGGAAATTACGACTAGAATGACTAGAACCGTGGGAACTTACTGCGACATGCCTTGACAGTGTGTCCGAAGTTGTGGTGCGGAAGGTTTACCTAAGTGGGAAACCTCTGGAAGGACCACCTGGCAAAAACGATGTCATCTCAGGGTGCGAGAAGGAAACGAAAACCCGCTTGCATTGGGCTTCGAAGGCCAATCCACATGCGACTCCCCAACTAAGCCCAGAAAGCCCAATACCCCTCAACTACGGTACGGAAACTTCCCTAAATCAGAATATGAGGCTTCTCATTCCGACTTGAGGATCACTCCCTAGAATGTGTCGGGCTTGTCTTGTGTATTTGTTGTATTTCAAACCATATCTTTCAATTAAGGGCCAGTGGGCTCTCTGGGAAGATCCCGGCAAAACCCCTGGCGGTCTTGTACTCAGCTCGGAGACCATGTGCATCCCAAAGTAGATCCACAGGAAAGGTCGGAGAGCTTGCTCCTAGGGTTTGGGGTGTTTAGGGTGACTTCAGGGTTTCGGGTTTAGCAGACCAAAGAAGCACAGTATGGGTCCTATGTTTGCCGCGCATAGCCTGATACAGGGATTCCACGAGACCTTGACTTTCTGAGATCCTCATGTTTATGCAGTCTTTTGTCATTTGCGTCGCATCCTTCTCCTTACAAAGCTCTGCAGTAAGTCAGGCGAACCTGCAGAAACAAAGGTCCGCAAAGCTAGTGCTGAGCCTTGCTCATAGACCTTGAAGTTCCGGGATACTAGTTCCAGGAAATGGAACTCCTGATGGCTGTCCTTCCACCCGGTTTGGGATGGCCAGTTCGAATTTGACCTGCTACTGTACCCTGGCATTATCCCGTGTCGAATGCGGGTTCAGACTTACTTCACGCGTGGCGCTTCTTCATGCGATCATCACAGGGTGCGAGAACCAAACTCTTGCAGTGCTTGTTGAGGGCGGCGAGGGTCTGTGCCCATGAATCTCATGTGTGTTGGCATGTGCTTTTCCACTGGGACTTGCCGCCGACGGCCAGCATTTTCAACGAGAGTTGTCATCGTCGCGCTTCAAAACTGAAACCTCCAACTGTGCCTGAAACCCTATTCACAACACACGCTCTGCGCCCCCATCCTTATTTGCACCAGATGCAGGCAGGCGGCCACACAGCATCAAGAACTTCTGGATTGCTGTCCTGGGAGGGTCGGGCAAGTGCTCAGAGTAGAAGGATTTCTTGGGCTCGGCTGGGCATCACACTCCCGCTGGATGAACAGCTCACAAGCTCACAAATTAATCCTGACTAATGAAAAAGACCAAGCACAAACCCTGCACAAAGCGCGAAGTCCAGCGGCCAGAAACCCAGGAAAGCCGAGTCACCGGAGCTTGTCGTTCGGTCGCAAGTCTGCTGCCATCGGCCGGGCAGTCTGCGGAGACACCTGCTTCTGGAATTCCACACAAATGCATGTCCGTTCTTTATCCCTGATGTAGATTAAGGATATGACAGTAACAGTAATAGCCATAACAAAAATGAGACTAACAAAAACTTAATAGTAAGAGTGAGTAAGTAGAAATAACTCGCTGACAATAACCTGAACCGTCCAGCTGCAGCCCCAGATTTCCAATGAAAATCTAAAAAACACCCAGGTAATTTCTACTTGCACCTTCTGCTTCTCCAGCCACTGGCGGATCTGCGCGCTTTCGTAGTTAAAGCCATCGGGGGCCGTGACGGGGTCCTGCACCGGACTCATCAGCTGCTTGACATCAGTATGTGTTCTCTGTTGATGCTTCTGGTGAATGGGGTTCGGCTGCCGAGAATGATAGCCGTTGTCATTATTCACCACCAAACCTACTAGCTGTCATTGTTCATGTTCTTATCAAGTAGTCTTGAAATCTTTCTAGGACTCACATTCAACGATTATCGCTGCAGCTGCTGCGACCCCATTCCGTCCCTTCTCCCATCGTTTACCACCTTGACAGCCAGACTTCAAAGTTTCGGCGGAGCCTTCATGAGCTGACCCGTGAGGGGGCAGAGGAAATCTGCCATCTCGGGATGGTGCAAGGCCACCTGAATAGGGTTTTGGAGCCGTTGTACCATACTTATAATAAGGAACCCCAAAATCGTATAGGTAGCTCTTAGGGCGCCTATTGGACAAAGGTCGCCTCGAACAGCTTGGACGGGAACTAACCCCTAGGTTTCTGGCATGCCAAGGATTTGGGGTGTGGCAGCTCGGGGCCAAGTGAACAGCTGGGTTCTTGTTAAGGAACTTAATTTAAGTTACCATAATAGGGATCTATCGTAAATAATAGGGTTTCCTTACTATGGTAACTTAAATTAAGTTCCTTAACAAGAACCCAGACAGTGAACTCTCGGGTGAGACAGCGCACTCGGGGAGTTTCTTGCTTTTGGAAGATGGACTTGTCATGCTTTCAACCCTAAACCCTAAGCCCTAAACCCTAATTTCCCTGGCCAAGATTTCGACCCTAAACCCGGCATGCTTGGAGCGGCAGGCCCGAACCGATTATAAACCCTAAACATGAAGCCTAAACCCCAAAACCCCAAACCCCAAAATCCTGAAGCCTAGACTTAA